GCCCAGCGGCGCTTGAGGCCCGTCCCCCCTTCCCCGCCTTCTGCGGTGCCTGAGGAGAAGAGCTGGGCGCGCTCCTGCAGAGCCCCGGGGATGGCTCTGGCTTTTCTCAGTCCCGGAGCTTCCTGGCACCCAGGCTCCGGCGGCGAGCTCAGCGGTTCCCGCGGTACGCTGGGCTCGTACCCCTAATGAGCCCCCAGGCCTCGGGGCTGGTCAAGGACTTGCTGGACCCTGCTGTGGTTTCCCACCTTTTTGCCTGAAAAGGAGCAAAAAACCAACGATAACAAATAATCTGAGATGCTCAGGACTTCCACGTGCTCCTCAGCCACCTCTCCAGCCACGGCCCGAAGCAACTCAGTTGTCTCCCCATCTTTGGCAGCAGCCAGTTCCTGACAGGGCTCCTGCAGCAGCATCTTCAAGGGGCCAAAGGTGTAAATCCTGGTAGAAGTGCTCGGCATGGGATGGCACAGAGAGGGGCTGTCAGGATGGGTGGCACTGGGATGGGGTTTGATGCTTTTATTACCCTGAGCCTCAAACTGGGATAGTTTGTCTCTCTGGCTTGGCACATGGGTTGCTACTGCTCTGGCTGGTGAGGTTTAACACAAGTAGATTTTAAGCTGAGCCCAAATCCTCTGCTAAAAAGTACTGATAATTGACAGCTAGATGATGCCAGAGTAGAAGTGCTGCAGGCAACAAAAGGCATGGTAACCAGCCCTGAACTGACTTAAAGAACAGCTGGAGAAAGGAAAATGTTAGAGGTTTAACACATGACCAGGGAAGAGGTGATTGACACTTTATTCCCAAACATCTAAAGCAGATAAAAGCGAGGAACGGATGTCGTCTGCCATGATTGCCAGAGCAGGGCTTTTGCCTCTGAGCCCTGTGGGACAACAGACCTTTCATGTTTGTATAATGTGATCCAGGAGTCGACCTTTCTTTGAGATCCTAATATGAGTCACAGAGCAAATTCTCTGATTTGGCCTGAGATTGCCAAGTATCGGAAGGGGATTTCCTAAATTATGTGCTTGGATCTGGAGTCAAATAGCCCCTTGGCAAAG